GTCATTTGAGAGGCCAAATTGTTCCTTGTTTGTGCAAAGATTTAGCTGGAAGCAAACTTTGGCACAAGTTGAGTTTGTTTTACATACTTTATAATGGATAGAGGACTAACTACGTTTAATTGTGTAGGCCACAGCTGGTCAAAGTTTATATTCAAAAGTTATAATCTGATTTTTGTATCAAGTCAAAGCAAATCCTTTTTTTTTTTATTCAATTTGCTTACAACTTGCAACTTAAAAATGGCTCTGTTTGCCTACTACTCTTTGCTTTTGAACCTAAGCTGCACTATTTGACAGTAAATCCTATAATGTGCAATGCAATTTTATGAAAGAAATATATTTAAACTTGATCAATCTAACCACTTTTCTTGTTTCAATAAAATAAAATGCCGCCCAACAAGAGTAAACATATTACCGGCATTGTATTTTTGGGTCAATAAGGCGCACTTAAAGTCCTTTAATTTTCACAAAAATTGACAGCGAGCCTTGTAATCTAGTGTGCCGTATGTATTAATTCTGGTTGTGCTTGCTGACCTCAAACTGATATTATGTGGTACAAGTGAAAAATGTTGAGAGTTATTGTGAATGAGTTGAATAAAGTTTGACTTGTCGGACTGTTTTGTTTTGCTTAATGCGCCATATAGTCAGAAAAATATGGTAAATAAGTTGAATTTAAAAGCAACATGATGCTGCAACATTTAAAAGATTCAGGGAACTGCTGCAAAACCAAAGCAAGTGTTAAAAATGGCACCATTTGCATTAAAGGAGCTGCCATTAACATTGGTATAATTTATTTTTCCAACTGATTTGAATGTTCATCTGTCAAGTGGCTATGAAATAAGCTTTTATAGCTAAGAATTCAAACATCTATTGACATGCCAAACCAAACTTGGTAAGGACAAAATGTATGTATATTTCTTCATCTACTCATCTTTGGTTAAGTTTTAAACATGCATTTATTTTATTTGCATATTTAAATAACACTAAAGCAAAGTAAGTGCCCATTTTAAAAGATCTTAACTTATGGATGTCATGCTTGGAAAAAAAAAACAAGTTTTGAATCATTTTGTTTGTTCAAAGGAAAAGTCTGTCCTATTTCCAGTTTAACTTTATAGATTTCTTCCAATCCGTAGTTTTCTTTCCCACTTCGTGAATTTGTAGAAGGCCACTTAAGCCTAGCAGAGCTGGATGTTGTTGTGTTTTGGTGTGTGTGTGTGGGGGGGGG